CCTCTCTCTGAAGATAATCTAAACATATACAACATTTAAATTGACTCCTTTGCAAGCAAATATTATGGTAACCATGATCACACGCCAAAATGTTGCCATCATGTGAATTGCCATCACAACTTATATAATCGCACAAAATAGCAGTATTGGGTTTTCTAGAAGTAACGAAACCCCTTAGAAGATGACGATCAGTTACTTCGTAACCTAATGAAGGAAGTTTGTACGTGTTAATACCATCGGATGAAGATTTAACAATTAAAGGATTCAGATGACGAGCTTGATATATTTTCATAAATACGTCTAATAGCAATATAAAATACTTCTTTGAAAGTATATGCAATCATTTTGGCGTATACAGATATTTCACTGAATTCACAAAATGTTCTCGAAAAGCATTATCTTTTTGATGCTGAAAGATAAAGTATGCCTCCTTTCGTAGTTGTTCAGCCGTGGTAAACTTAGCGGTGCATCTTCGAATAACGCTATGAACGATTTCTACAGGATAATCACTTATTGAAGCGAGATTATTAGTAAACATGTTAATCATCAGATGATTAGTCTCCATCCAGTAAAAAATATCAGAAAAAAACATTAAAGGAGCTCGCTTATAATTTTTTCGATCAAACTGAAGAAAGAGATCACTCTAACAACATAAACAAGACTCTTTGTAAGCTGGCCAATTGCCTTCTCGATGATGTACTGCATAAACATCGAGAACTAAAGGGATTAAATTGCTAAAAAGGTCATTTAAATACAAAAACTCAATGTTCTTGCATGTATGGCCAAATTTCGAATAAACAATATCGACAATCTCAAGCTATGCCACACGTACGATATGAAGAATTAAATTGATTCTCCATGGTCATGGCTTCTTACCAAGATCCTTACGTATTCTGAATATGCCTTTATAAATGTCATTAAATAAAAATGAGTTTTTCAAAAAGATGATCTCACGGGCATTTAAAGATACATGGAGAGGACTCAGAATCGGCAAAAATGACGTAATAAATGGAGGAATGGTCTCGTTATTGACAAGAAGCCGTTGTGTAATAGCTTTGTGAATAAAGAGCTGACCAGGCCAGTCCGCAATGATAGGAATTATGTGATTAGTAAGATACGCTTGCATCGATTCTTGATCATACACGATTTGGAGAGCTTTCATATAATCTTCCACACCTTTCAAATTGCTTTCAACAAATTCGATGAGAATAGAATTCTGTACATGCCTCTCACCTTTTTTTCCCGCCAATCTGTCATTGTAACTATGCAATGTTAACCTATCTATAAGTTCATCATCAGAATATCCTTTACTTGCATAATCCTGCATACGACTACGATTATGATAAGAAATTCCAAGGTTTACAATAAATCGCTCGTTGAGATGTCTTTCAATTATTTTATTATCAACGACCTTTGGATTGATTGCTTCATTGCGTACTATCGCCAGTATTAAACATGGGTTTGCTATAATAGTTGCCATGTAAGCTGCCCAAGATGTACTCGTAGTGTCCGGCCATCTTTGAGTATGAATGTTGTGATAATCATCAACATTCAAAATAAAAGCATTTTGCGAACATTTTATAAGGGCATTCTCTACGTAATTTCTATGTGCATCTGACATCCTTTTTTTTCTACGATCTACTGTTCTTGCTGTTGTAGTCATACCAATATTTGCTATAGTATTTAATCCTTCATTACTTGTTCCTGTTGAATCTAAATAAAATGCAAGATCAAGCTTAAAAACATTAATTTTTGTGTTGTTTAATGAAGTGAGAAGATAACAAATGAACACCATTATTTTTTTCATACGATCTATAGTTTGACTGTTACGTTCTGATAGCTGAGCTGCTAAATAAAGCTGATTAAAAAAATTCTTTAAGCCCGGTTCCTGTTGTTCTAAAAACTTCCGCATTTCAACAAATTCGTAAATTGAATTGTTTTTTTCTATACATTCTCTTTTGTACAAAATTTTTGCCATAGACTTTACCGCCTCAGTAAAATCAAAATTAATGCTAGTTGTATTCATTTCTTCCTCTTCTTCATTAGTTTCCTTTCGTCATTAGCCTTTCTTTTTCTTCTCAAGGGATTTTCTATACAGCGTATGTAACAAATATTACACATAATGTTACCTTCCTTCCATGATTCTTTTTCTAAACCTTTGAACTTAATTTCCTTCCATTTTTTACCACCTAACGAACGAAATTTTATTGAATTAGTGGTCTGACATTCTATACATTTTCTGCTATCTGCCATATTGAGGTTGAGGGATTCAAAGGAATTCAAGCAATATTCATGTTTTACAATGTGAATACTACAAATTTGCTTAATCGTTTATTGGCATTTTCATATTACACAATGTTATAATACAGCAACTCAGAAAGTACTTTAAACCATATAAAAAATTTTGCAAATCAATTGTGTAACATTTGACTAAAAATAGGTACGGTCCTACCTGAATGTATACACATGATAACATATGTATATGCATTAATCATGACACGAAAAAATTTTCTAATATTTCTATCCTATGATTGTCATACTCGTCCCTGGCCCTTTTTTGACTTTAGCTTCTTTGGGTCCAATTTGTAGGTAAATATTCGTTTTTTCTTTTGAAGGTCCAATTGGTTAAGTTGATTGATTTCTTTAAGGATTCACCATTTTTTCTATGAGAATTATAAGAACGATAGTTAAATTGGTTAAATTTTAACAGTTTAATGTAAAAGTTACTATTTGGTAGCAGCAGCTTTTTCTTGAATACTTAGTTATAATCCATTTAAGCCATTTAAGCCATTTTCATAAGTTCCACCGTAATAAGAGCGCAAATTAACTTTTTTTGATCTCTTATCACCTTTCTTATAGGATACGTTTTTAATGATATAAAGGTTTTGATTATATAGTGGTGAGTTGAACTCTCCTGTATTCTGTTGTTCAAATTCTCCTCCTTCTCCTCCTCCTTCTCCTTGGGTACTTATTGTACTCGATTGCGTTGTCTGTTGGGTTGAGCTACTTTGATATTAGTCATGGAAGAATTAAATATTCAAAATGAAGGATCTGAAGTATTACAAGACAAGGAATTTGAAGGATCTGAAGCACTACAAGATAAGGAATTTGAAGCATTATTAGAATATGATAGTACAGAAGATTTTCCCGATATAGATAAGTAAGCAATCAATCAAGTAATTAGAGTATCGTATTGTATATTGGGATGACAAAACATATCTAATAAAAGTAACCATTTTATCTTATAGTATATCTGGTGACATTGAGAATACGATGGAAAAGAATATAAATCTTTTTTATTGGAAAAATTTTTCAAAGTTGGGATCATGTTTCAAATTTCATGAAAAAATACACCGCTACTAAAGATCATGGAATGCGAATTGGTGGTGGTGGGAAAGTAAATAAAGTAAAGGAAGTAATTAAGTGAACTTATTTGTGCCAGCATGCTGGATAAGCAAAGTCCAATCGGACAGCACTTATGGAGAAACAGCATTCAAATACGTTCTTATATAGAATCGGGTGTTTGTGGAAGGTTAATATTTGGAACAAAAAAGACAAAGGCTATTTGGAAGTTACAACTTTACATGATTAGCATACTGGTCATGAACTTCACCCATTAGCAGTTCGATTTGTTTCAACATTGTGCAAACTACCAGAGGAATTCATTGAAGAAATTCATTTTTTAACTGTCGTTGCCAAAGCAAATGCAACCATTCAATATAGAGTTATTAGAGAAAAGTTCAATATGAGAATTATCTGACAAGATCTTTATAATGCCATAAGCAAGTTTTGTCACAAAATGGCACCAGGTGAAGCAGATACAGAAATTTTACTAAAAAGACTCTATAGCAAAAAAATGGAGAACCCACGTTGGATAATTTCAATGAAGCTTGATCCAGGTACTTCTTCTTTAACTCATCTTTTTTGGATGAGTCCTGAATAACACATTTTATGGTTACGCTACCATGATGTAATAATGCATAATAACACTTGCAAAACCAATCGCTATGATCATCCTTTGTCTCTCTTTATCACCCCTGATAACAATTTGAAAATGCGAATTGTGGTCCAAGCAATTGTTGACGATGAAACTCAACTTTTATATGAGTGGGTCTTTTGATATGTAAAGGAAGCAACCGGTGTATCTCTGAAGGTGTTTGTTATGGATGGCGATCCAGCAGTTAATAGTGCGATCATGACAGAATTTCCCAATACTTATCATATATACTGTATATAGCATATATGTCAGAATTTACTCAAACGACTAAAAGGAGAGCTTGGTTCTAGTTTTAGTGACTTTATGAAGGATTTTTTTAAAATGAGAAATAGCTTAATGGAAAAGCAATTTAATGAGAGGTGGAAAATGTTATTACAAAACTACCCAAAATTAAAGGACTATTTAATTCATTATTTAGGAAACAATCTTTAATTATAGGCTCGCGCGTTCACAAACAGATATTTCACTGCTGGTACGCAATCAACCTCTCGTAATAAAAGTGAAAATTCAACATTAAAAAGGCTTCTTAGAAACTCTAATATTTCACTATGCGAATTGTTTGATGCCTTAGAAGAAAGGTATCAAGAGGAGAATGATTATTGTGAGTTTGTGAATTGGAAGCAAATGATACCACAAATAGGATGTCAAAATATAGCAAATGCTATTTTTAGACTAGTAATAGAACAGTTAAAAGAGTTTGTAATGCGAAATATCTTGAAGAAGCAAAAGGAGCAAATGAGTCTAAGTCTTTATTATTATGCTACAGAGGTTGAGCTTGAAGTTGTTCTTTCTAAAGAGCAGGTAATATATAATTAATCTCGGAGGTGAAAATTCTCATGAAATAAGTTTCTAATTAAAATCTTTCTTATTTAGGTACTTGACGAATCCGACCAATGTA